GGAGGCCGGGTGGAGGGGTTGGGAGCGCTGGCGGCGGGGGCGGGGCGTCCCTTCGGCTTTGCTCCTCCTCGAGTTCGTCTGCAGAGCGCGCCTCATACCCCTACTGTTGCTTTGAGGACTCCGGAGAGGCCAGGCTGCTAAAAACAGCGGGATGTGGTTCAGAACTCCCCGCAGTCACCGCCCCTAGGGCCAGCCAGGCCGCAGCGCCCCCGTCCGCCCACCACGCTTCCCAGGTCCTTCCCATTTCCAGCTTGCCCAGATCCAGATACCTACAAGGGAGCCTGTTGCCCTAAAAGGGTCGATGAAAGGGCCACCTTCTTCCAGCCCAGGTCAAGCCCGAGCCAAGCAGGGGCCAGTGTCTGATGGTGGGAGGGGTCTCACTGGCAGGTCCTGGACCCAGAGAGGGGAGACCGGAGGCCCACGGGCGACTGTCGCAGGCTCAGGCCGCCCTGACGTCCCGTGCTGTGCGCTGTCTGGGAAAGCATCGCTCTTGCAGGTCAGGAAGCTCACCGGGTGCATCGACACGGCTCCAGAGGCCGGGTGCCCAGTGGCAGCGCGGGCAGACCCGATGCTCTCAGAGCCCCATTGCCGAGAGGGTGGAGGGAGTACTCAGGGGCTGTGAGGGTCACACCCGATTCTCCTCGTTCCCTGCAGCCTAGACCTCCTCCTCCATTTGCGGAAATGGAGCCCCACGCCCCCACCAGGTGCTTGGTCAGGACCCAGCTGACTTTGCTGCTGGCCACACCTGGGCCCCGGGTGCCCCTCAGTGGGGAGCAGCCAGCTTTCCGACCAGCATGGCCACGCACCTGGCCCCCTCTCCCTGCGTCCTAGGCCTCTGGTTTCCAGAGACCACTGTGTTGACTTCTAGAAGGGTCACCGCCCTTCTGGACACCTGGCCCAGAGGGGAACTAGGAACAAATTTGTGAACAGATTCAGCTTTGCCACGGTGTGCACATGGGGACCCCCAAACATCCCCACCCTGAATGGTCCCCTCTCCCTTTCCAGGGTGTCCCTTGTTCCATTCTACCCCGTTCGACTCGCCATCCATCCCTGAGCCATGTGTTGGTTCAGGTCAGTACCCGCTGCCCAGATCCACATAGCACTTCAGTGGTCCCCATTGGACTCAGTGTTCGTCATGGGGGCAGTGGCATGAGTGCCTTAACCAGAGACTTACAACAGAACCAGCCGTCCCCTGCGGTTCCCCTCAGCCCTGCCGTGGACTCCCCAGAGGCACCAGCTTGCAGCTCTTCTAGCTGGTTCTTCTGGTTTTATTCCAAATCCTCAAACACAGGCTTAAACTTCTCCTGCTTGGTTTCCGTTGTGGCGCCTCCTCTGCTCCCCCCTCAGCCCTCTGCCCCCCTAGATCACCTTGGCCAGGTTTCTGCAGGAACACACAGCACACCGCACACAGGGAGCTGAGGAGGCTTCAGCGAAGGAGCAGTTCACAAAGGTGTGAGCGGCTCCACGGAGACCTCTAGGGAGTGGAGACCAAAGCGGGGGCCTAGCCGTGGCCCAAAGGTCGGGATGGAGCAAGTGCTGCCCTGTGGGCAAGGGCCTCGGGCCAGGAGGGTGGCCGTGGGGGCAGCTCAGCCCAGCCAAGGAGCGGAGGGAGCGGACACCCAGACCTCCCCCGCCCCCAGCTCTGGCTGTCCTGCTCCAGGGCCGGGAGGTGGGAGCACGAGGGCCGGCCTCCTGGGCACAGAGCGGGGAGCATCTCAGGAGATCCCCGGGGCTCCTTCTGGGTTAAACCACAGTCACTGTTTGCGTTACGATCGCTATGTAAACGTTCATGGTGACCCACCGTTACGTTACCTTTCTCGTACACACTTTCATTGTCCTTAGAAGTAATTTTTCATTTGCTTAATGTTCTAAGTGCCTATCACTGACCCACCCCTGAATTTCCAAGGGAAGGAATCTCTTCTGGACACAGTCAGAACGTTAGGAATTCAGTCCGTTGAGGTTTTCTGAGACATCCTTCCGGAGCACTCTCTCCTCCTGTCTGCACCCGGACCGTTTTCTCCCCAAAGCTGCGTCACCCTGATTTCGCCTCCATCCTCATTTGGGAAACACCTCCACTCACTCCTGTGTCAAAGCCCTTCCTCCCTCAGCTTCCTCGTTTTTTTAGGAATGTTTCCCATGTTGTTGAAACTCACTCTCTAACAGCTTCCTGGAAACGCAGAGATTGGGCAGTACATTTTGCGAGACCTTGTGTGGATGAAATCTTCATTCTGACCTCGCAATGGAAGTTTACCTGGGTATGGAATTCGAGGCTGGAGACATTTTTTTGCAGGAATTTGAGGGTATTTCTGGATTCTCTTCTGACTCACAGCGCTGCTCTTACGAAGCTGGGTAACATTCCAGCTCCTGGTCCTTCATGTGGCACCATCTCCCTTCCCCGTCCTCCCCGGAAGTTGTGAGATATCCTCCTTGAGCTCAGAGCACCCCTGACGTTTCAGGGTGAGTGTTTGCTCAGCCAGCGCACCTACAGTCAGGAGCCCTTTCTGATCGGAAACCCGTGTCTCCCAGCTCTGGGACGCCTCATCCCACTGCTCCAGGCATTCTCTCCCCCTTTCCTTCTAGAACCCGTTAGTCACATGCTGGGCTGTGGAACTGACACTCTGATTTTCTTATTTTTCTCTCTGACCCTGGTTTTTCGTTCTTCTTTTTAGGGAAAGGCCTCAACTTTCTCTGCTAACTTTTCTGTTTAATTTTTTTATTTCCTCCTTTGTACGTTTAATTCTCCAAGTGTTTGTTCTCTGAAATAAATTTTTTTGTCGTTTCCTTCTTGCTCATAGATGTAGTACCATCTCATTTCTCCGAGGATAATAATCATAATTACAGTGTTTTTCCTTCTGTTTCTTTCATTGTCCATGTTACTTCAGAGCCCTTTTTTGCATTTTTTTCATTCTGGTTCCTGTCTCTCATGTTGGAGGATTTCCTTGAGCAACAGGGATTCCCCCCACCCAACCGTGTCCCAGCAGGGACACTGACCCGAAGCCCTGGGTCTGTGTGTTTGGAGTGGGGGCTTTAAGGTGAACTGGAAGAAACTGCCATTTTTGGGTGGACGTTTTTCCTTTCACCGTTTTTTTGGTCTTTGCCCACTGCGGAATTCAAACCAGGGTGCTAAGGCTAAAGAAAGACATTAAAGACATCAGTTTGGAAAGGAAGAGTTAACACTGTCTTTTCGCAGGTGACATGACTTTGTATGTAGAAAGCCCTAAGGAATTCCCCAAAATGAGCTTGGGAGGAGTTCAGCAGGCTTTCAGGATATAGGATCACTATGCAAAGCTCAGCTGTATTTTTATATACTAGCAGCAAACAATCCAACAGGAAATTTTTAAAATTCCACCATAGTGGCATGAAAAAATAGAAACCTTAGGAGTGAATTTAACAAAAGACATGCAAGACGTGCACACTGAAAACAAACACGGCTGAGGGAGACTGCAGGTGAGCTCGGTGGAGAGCTGGTCTGTGTTCGCGGGTGAGAACTCAGCGTGGTCGGAATGTCCGTTCTCCCCAGGGCACCCCAAAGAGCAGACACAGCCCCGGTCAAAACCCCAGCAGCTCCTCTGCAGGCCTGGACAGGCTGATTCTAAAACTCACATGAAAATGCCCCATCTTCCCCTGCCCTGTGGTATCTTTCTGTATCCTGAGCGATACCATTTTTCAGCCTAAAATTTCAGTTCTCGAGGAGTCCAACTTTGTCCGTCTTTTCCTTTAGGGACGGTGCTTGTTGTGTCTTGTTTAAGGAAGTCCTTTTATTCTGAAGCGTGAAACTTTGTCATTTTGTCTTTCACGCTCAGGTCTCTGCTCCACTGCCTCGTGTGTGTGTGTGTGTGTGACGTACGGTAGAGGCCCAATTATATATACACGTA